CAAATAATTTAAAAGATTGTCCACTGCTTAACTGAAAGATCTAGTGGATCTTGAAACGTACGGATAGGGATCGCAACCACTCGTGAATAGATGGAGCGGTAGGATACACTCATCCCATTACAAACCCCTTCACCAGTCATTTCAAGCTCGGGCTTGGGGGGACCTGTGAACCTTATGATCGTCGAGTCACTTGAACATACCACCATCAAGACCAAATGATCGTGGAGTCTAACTGATCGGTCAAATTTCAAGGCGATTAAGTCTAATGTTGAGCAACTTGAGGTAAAGTATGATTATCAACAATTGGATCGTAATTAAGTTGTTGTTAATCAAAAGCTCACTCAAAAATTTATAAATATAGGTTTGAGTTAAGAATGTAGGTGATTGCATTTACTACACCATTAATATCTAAACTGTCAAACGTTGAGCTGACTTTGGCATCAGAGTGTCTTCTACAAGTACCCTCCAAACTGTCTTGGACATGGTTACAAGATTTGAAGTGGAAGACAACTTTTGACCCTTAGGAGACTTTTTAGATGTTAAATGTTGACCTCGACCCTACATATAAGTCAATGATGTTAATTTTAGATTCATCATTCAATCATACCCTTTCACAAATAACTTAGAATGACATATTTATTGATAATTTCGCAGTACACTATCTTAATAATTTCACAAAGTCACTTTTTTTTTCCTTAAGCCACATAGAATAAAATTTGTTATTCCAAAGGAATATATCTAAATCTTAAACTTAATCATAAACTATATGTTTAAATTTTAAGTATGAGTTTAATTCTAATATTAAATATAATTTTTTATCTATAAACCCATTAATCTAATCTTATATCTTCAAATTAGTAGTGGAAGAATTAATTTATAATTTTCTCTCACCTTATATTCCAACTTTATCCTTAAACCATCTTTATAACTTATAAAGAAAAAATATATGAGAAGAAAAATCTATAAACTCGTTATTTTAAAATTTTAAATCAATTTGACTTAATTTATAATAGAAAAAATAATTGATGTTATTATGTCTAACTATATTAACGATCAGTTGTTAGCTATAAGAAAATTTTCAACTAAATAGTTGTGTATACTTTAGATATTATTTAAAATTAATTTTCTTATATATTTATATCTTATGCAATCAATGCATAATTTATTTTGAAAAGCGACCTGATGAAAATGCAAGGTCTAACCTTGACAAGTCTGTCTCTGGGAAAAAGCCATGGTGATTGTAATCATACAACTAACGGAATTCCGACCTCGGTTGAATTATTTTGTTCTTTAGGATCGATGTTCTTTTATAGTTCTGTGGCGTTTATTTTTCAGCAAATAATAGACTGCCTTGTAATGTCTGATTCATAACTATCATTGAAATTATGGTTATCATGAGATTTTTATTATTTTCTACTACAATTTTTCAATCTCTTGTGAAATGCATGGTGCTAATTGGTGGACATTTTCTTACTCATTATAATGCTGGGTTTCTAATTAACACGGTCCCTGAAAAGGGAGAGAGAGAGAAGGGAGAGAGAGAACTAAGACATAGGGGTATCTTTTTTACTTTGTGGGGGCATTGACATAACAAAACATCGTCGTTTTTAATCATTCTGAAAGGTTAATTTCATTGTTTCGATATTGGGAATAGTGAGCAAGCCAAAATTTGAAGGTCAAAACATTCATTTTCTCTTTATTGCACAGTATATACTTTATATAACATTTTACTCAATTTTTTTTCTCTTTAATGACAAAGCCTAATTAATTGTGTAATTGAGAAAATAAAACTATAATTACTTGAAAACTTTCTCTTTTTCCTTTCAAGACCTCAATTTGGCTTTTGGGAAAAAGACTGTGAATACAAACGAATCTATATGAGGTCCCTCCTAATCTTACACAACTGCACCTCTGAGTTGACTCCTCATGAAGAATAATAGCTTCTCTGCAGTTTTTTTTATCTTTATAAATGCTTTTTCGTCCCCATTTTCCTTTAATACGTGAATAAAACTTCGATTTACTAGAAAAAAGGAAGTTAAGGAACACTATCACCACCCCTCCTTTCTTTTAATTTATTTTCTTTTTTGTAAGCCCGTGTAGACCCAACTTTAATTATTGAGTTACATTTGAGTTCTAATTTTTCCTTTAATTTCCCTAACATCTTAGGTTGATTATATGAGATAATCATATTGTTTTTGATAATTTTCTCAACAAGAAAAACTTTTGTATGCTTTGTAAAATGAGGGAAATTTGATTAACATGCATGCTTACAAGGACTATTGGATTGTGATTATGTAATTCAAATTTAGTATTGATTCCTAAAAGGTCAAACAACTTAATATTTACAAAGTACACTAACAAAAGACAATACTAATGCATTTCATTTAATATAATATATAACTCAAAAATCTAATTCTAAATTTTAATCATAAAATAATATTATTTTATTAAACATCAATAATTACTTATTAAGTCAATTTTATACTTTAAGTTATGTGAATCAACCACTAAATTGAATAATATTTGTTAAAAGTAATGCTTATAAGTGCAGTTTTAAAACCCACTTACAAACTTACAAATGGACATTCGATGAAAAGAAGACATAATCCTGTTTTTGTAGTGATGCAATTGTTCTTAAACTGCTCTAAGAATGTATTCGAATTACCGTTTTAAATATTACACTTTTTTTTAAGTATAAGTAAATTTTAACTACTTAATTGGAAGATATGTTTTAATATTCTAACTTTAATTAATGTTTGATTTTTTATTACATATTTTTTGTGAAGATGGTTGTAAAAAAAGTATCAAGAAACTAATAAAATGTAATATAGTTATTATGTGTGAAATTAGGTTTTTTAACCTATAAATTAGACCGATATGATAATTTTAAAAAGAAAACATAAGGTAAATACATGTTTTACTCCACCAAATGAAATTTAATGAAATTCACGACAAGATAACATAACACTTATATAGACTACGGTTATTATAAATATATATATATATATATATATATATATATATATGTTAAAATATTTGTTTTTTTTTATCATGGTATGATATAGTACGATTTTATATAACCGTTGAATAAACTCAAAAAATAACTATAATCTATTACCTTTGTCACACTAGTGAGACAGATCGATTTTTTTTTCTAATTTTTTACATCTTTGATTTTAAATTTAAAACCCATTAGCCATTTAATCTAACTTCAAAATAGATGTTAAATAGCCTTGTTTTGGCTGCATGTAAAACCAAATATACTGTGATGCTTTCCCTCCTATTATTTTCAATTTACATCAATCTCGACATGAATCTAATATACGAAATGAGATTAACGTAAAGAAAAATATGAACTTTATTTGTTTTTTTCGAAGCTATGAACTTTGTTTGTTTACTTGTTACTCTCCTTTTGAAGTTATTAAATGTAAAAAAAATGGAAGAATAATACTACCTTGTAAAAAAAATATAAACTTTATTTGTTTACTTTCTTTTGGCAGAATAATACTACCTTGTAAAAAAAATCAAAGTTTTAGTTTCATAAAAATGAACACTGATTAAAACCGAAAGACATGCCAAGGTAACATGCTTGAGGTTCCCCGGCGGGAAGTAACATGTTTGAATTATGTTGTGAATTCCAACATAAACCATTCTTGCTGAAGCTCAATATTCTGTACAGAGAGCCCAATATCAACAGCTTTCTAACACTAGATACCCACTCTTGGACAAACACTGAATCAGTGCTAAATTAAGAAGCTACTATTATTTGTATGAATAATAGCATTAAACGTTTTGAAATGGAAAACCTTATTAGCCTGTTTGGCAGTGAAGAAAGAGAAAGGAATATATAAGAGGAAGAAAAAGAAATAATGTTGGATTGTTTAATAGAATGAAAAATACAAGTTTTGAACTTGTAACATATCTTTATCCATTTGTTTTGGTTGTCCCAAACGGAGGTGGATGTGACATGGGATATTAGGAGCAACCAGGATTAGTGAGAGAGACAAGACGATATTGCTTTAATAGGTTAATTAGCTGAATGGGAAGTTGAGTAAAAGAGTGTATATAAAAAAGAATAGGTGTTTGAGATGAAATGCAAGCATGGTGGCATTTTATTGTTGTGATTTTGAGAGAGATAAGAGTGGGAATCGAGAAATCATGTGGTTGTGCAGTAATAGAATCGGCGAAGGGAGCATATAGACAAAAGTCATAAACATGTCTGCATATGGGAGGGGTATAAGGCTATATAAAGTCTTTTCTCACTGTCTGATAAGCCTAAACTATGACCAAGGTTTTCATTACATAGTGCCATAGTGGACAGTGGACCACAGATATGAACCACGCAGCTTTAACTGATGCTTAAGCCCCCAAAACAAGCAAACAAAAGCATCTTCAACGTCACTTCCTCATACCCACACTTTGAACTCCTTAACAAGTAAACTCTGCACAAAACCATTTCCTCCTATTATACTTCAAACATCTTAACAACAATCACCAAACCTTCCAAATTAACCATCTTTCTCTATCTTTACCCTAACTAATCAACCAGCTTCCTACTTTACTCACCACGCACTTGCACATCACATTCTCCTAATTTCTAACACCTTCACCCTATTTATTACACTTCATATTTGTGTCAGAATGTCAAGATTATCCCTTAATAGTGGTTGTTGGATTCAAGAGTAACACAAAAAAGTTGTGTCTCTCTATTAATAGTACTCTCTCGATCTAGCTAGCGTCAACACATTTTCGCACATTCAACGCATTTATGGTTGTTGAATGAAGAACGGGTGAGTGAGATCTTTAATATTATTTATTTTAAGTTGAATGACGGAGAGAAATTAGAGTCGCCCAATCTTCATAGGGTGGTTCTGAATTGCTGGAGAGGTGAATGTTTTTTCACTTGGTAAATAGTGAACAGAGAAGCTCAAAAGAATAGAGTCCAGTGTAGGGGACAGAAACACAGCACATTTAATAATAATATTAATTAGCTTAAATTGCTTTACGCATAAGGGATGGAAGAAAACAACAAAAGCTGGCGAAAACAACGGAAATAACGAAAACAAGGTTCTGTAAAAACGAAAGGAAATGCATGAAGGTTGCAGGCAGTGGATTGAGAATTTCCCCATCCACTTTTTTCAGTGCGTGGGAGGAGCTGAAAAGTTTAGCGCACTTTGCAGTTAGCAGAAGAGAGCGAAGACGCAGTGACAAGCGTAGACGTATAGAAAGACATGTAAAACGGAAAATGCAGGCGAGAAGGCATTGATGGTACCGAGAAACTTCCTCCTTCCAACAACTGTCTTAGGATAGACCACATATACGAGATTCACAGTCCACAAAACAAAACAAAAGCAATCTGTTCACCTTCCTCATCGTCGCCATTATTCATGCACTCCATCCTTCACCAACTCAATACAATTACCAAAAACGCTTTCACCCTCACATTCTTCAAAGTAACACAAACATGCACAAACAAAACCACTGACCATAAAACATATAACCATATATACGAGCCCACTAACAACAATGATGCTCTAATTAGAATGCAACTCAAAGCATTACTAATATATTTTGCAAAGGGAATAAGGAAAGTACCCCCATCGTTCTCCAATGTCATAAGAAAATTAAAGGTGAATCCAAAAGAAAAAGAAAAGGAAAAACCCTAAGAACTATGATCCTGATGAGCTACTGCTGCGGACTTGTCAGACATTCAGCAACGCAATTTCCCAGCTTCAACGTTGAGCTTCCAGCTTGGAATGGTGGCTGTGATGGTAACTAGATATATAGGAACATACATATATATAGAGAGTGAAGAAAGGGTAGGATATAAATATATAGAGAGAGAGAGACGGGGTTGTTGATTTATATTTCTTCTAGGGCTTCTTACCAAGGGTGTGCTTGTTGTTATGCATCCAAACCTTGAGGACATGCCGTTGAACACCAGTTTGGGAACAGAACTCCTGCACGACACTCTCGTCGTGTTTTTGAATCCTCCAACCCAGTTTTTCAGCGAAAGCGAGCATCTTGTCTTTCTGTTCCAGAGTGAACTTGGTTCTGAACCTCTTCTTGTTGGACCCGCTACCACCACCACTTGGGTCCGACACATCTTCCTGGTCCTCCCTCGGGCTCTGGGCCCCACCGCCCGCACCTGACGTGGAGGGGAGTGCCAGCGTGGCAAGGCCTCCACGATGCGGCCCCGCCACCTGCAAGTAGCCCGCCGGGGCCCTGTAGTAGGCCGCCGCGAACTGTGGCGGCGGCTGGTGGCGGCGGTGCTGGAAGGGCATTAGGAAGGAGCTCTCCGAAGGGTCCTTCCGGTGGAAGTTGCGGTGGCAGTTGCAGGCAGCGCATTTGAGGGCATCCAGGGTACCCTCGGCTCCCGCCGCCATGAACTCACCGCAGCCGTCGAGCGCGTGGCCGCCGATTCCCACGGCGTGGTTCTTGAGGCACTCTTTGTATTTTCCCCTGGCGTTGTTTCGGCTGATGGTGGGTGGTGGAGTGGCCGCAGGAGGCAGAGGGTCTTCCTGGACGATGTGAGTTGGCATTTTGACTCGGCAGGGGTTGAACGGCGAGTGATCATATGTGGGTCCAGGCATCCCCAACTGAGCTTCATCATGTTCTTCGAAATCCATTTTGGGAGGTTGAGAATTATGGTTTGGAGGGTGAGATCGCAGAGGGTGATGGGTGACGGAGCTTAATAAGCAAGTGTTGGAGAGGAAACAAACAAAGAAGTCATTAATGGCAGTTTCATACACTTTTTCCACTTCTCTGTTTTCTGCCTCGCCACTCTTAATTCTCTATCCTTGTCTTCCACGGCCTAAATCCAATCTTATTTTTTAGTTTTTTTTTTCACACGACTATTCATGTTTATTATATCAAACATAAATTGCTTATTGGTGGAAAACCTTAATCTGAAACACTATTTGCCTCTTTGGATATGGATTCAAATTTCTCCTATCCTCTTTGGATGTCGTTTCAAAATTTTAATATTTCATGAATCTATCTATATTATCATTTTATTTTCCAATCAAATAAACTAAAATAGTTTGTTTAATATATAGACTTTAATTACACTTGAACTTTAGCGTCTCTTTTAAAACATGTATTTATGTAACAATGTTTTAGTTAGAAAAAGTCAAACAATATATTTAAAGACATCTGAATTTATTCCTGCAATAAATGTAATTCTTTATTACGAGGTATGATTAATTGTTGAATAATAAAGGAGCGAATTTTTAGGGGAGTAGTTAAAGATGTGGTTTAAGGTGACCACTGATTTTAACCGTTCATAACAATCTATTGTCAGATGTATCATATACAGACGCCATCACAAGGATTATTGGGGAATGATATGAATATGTGATTATGGTGCATTTAATCATCTATAGCAATTTACTCTCAATTCCAATACAAAAATATATTTATTTTGATACATTAAATAAAAATTAATATATAAAAAATATTAAAATCAATATATATTAGTATATTTGAGAAATACATGGCACTAAAATTAATGGTGGTAAGAGGAAGCAAAACTAGTTTTATTAATTCATATTCACCTTTATAAATGATGAAAATTGTCTTAACAAAATAAAAGTTTTTTAAATGAAACAAAAATCCAATATCAAATAGAATGAAAATACGATAAGTTCATGCGATTAAACACTTAAAATTGGAAGTCAAATATTTTATATGAAAAAAATAAATAAAAATATTAAAAATAAGTAAAAATATTTAAATATGAAACATAACATTTATTTGATAATATACTATTTGAACATAATTTCACAGATGTTATGCTATGAGAAAAAACAGGTTAGGCAAACAATTAGGAAAAAGAAAGAAAACAAGCGAAACAATTTAAATCCAACTTCACATACACTTTATCTTAATCTTTTTTGTAATTCTCTTTAATAATATTATCTTTTACCCTCCGAACCGAAGGATTTAAATAAAGTATTTTTTTTCAAGATAATGTAATACTTTAAATAATGTTAAAATATTTTATAAAAAGTAATATAATTTTTTAATAGAGTGGTTTAGAAGAATGTAATATATTAAGATTGTTTTAACCATAAATAAATTACTTAGAATTGAAGAAATTAAAAATATATTTAAAAAATATTAAGCACTTCAAAACTTTCACAGTTTATTATCTCTCAAATCAGTTATTGTTTTGTTTAACTCAATCTTGAATGAAACATTGTTGACTTGTTTTTAATAAAAACATCCTTGACTTATTTAAGACTAGATGTTATTGATTTAATATTGTTTGGTAAGGTTAAATGAGTTTATCTTGGTTAAATTTTATTATAGTTATTTTCTGTCATCATTATCAATGTTATTCTTGTATTGATGTACGTAAGTGTGATTTTTTTGGTTAGAGTTTTTATTTGTCAATATCATTCATATTTAACAATTGGTGTCAAACACAATTTATTCAATTAAAATCAATTGATATTACTTTTAAATTATGTCATTCAAGGTCATTTTCACCTAAAACATAGGTTAAAATTATTTATCCATCATTGATAATAAAGGCTTCCTTGATCAATTGACATGGTATATTCTTTTATTGATCTCAGTTAGAAATTTTCATATAATGTAAATGTCTCTATTTTTGGTTCATTTAAGTCAACTTTTTGTTAGACATTGATACAATTTTTTTTTCACTACTAGAATTTTTTATATTTCATGGATTGTTTTCTATTTTTCCTAAGAAATTTATTGGCAGGTAATTCTTTCGAGGATAATTATTTCCTACAAAATTATAAAATTCACAAGTATATCCTATAATTTTTTTTGTGCAAAATATTTTGCATAAAAATTGATAACAATTTCTTGCAAATTATTATTCATAATAAAATTTATAAGTATTTTTAAAGAAAAAGTTTTCAAAATAAAATTGACAGAAAATGTGTATTTTTTAGTAGTGTTGATATCAATTGAAATAGTTTTCAATTTATATTAGTCGCAATTGTTTTTCGACTAGATTAATCAAAATTTAGTGCAATTTTACTTTTCAACCAACATTACAAGGGTTTTTTTATCCAATATTAGCAAATTTATTTTTAGTTTATGTTAATGGGATATTTTTTTTTGATATCAATGAAACTATTTTTTAGATTATATAAGTAAGACTTTCATAAGATTATTTATTTTTTTTACATTGATGAGATTATTTATCTATGAATGTAAAATAAAATTATTTCCTTCTTAACATTTATCTTACAATGATTAAGGAGAAGACATGATTTCATCTCAGTGATATTAGATTGATCGAGAGAGTGTACTTTTTTCTTTTAGTGAGATGGAGAATCTTCATGGCCAAATTTGTATAATTATATATAAAAAAATAGTGAGACTGCATGAAAAAATGCCTTCCAACATAGTAGGATTTGAGGTTTTCATCCAAGTTTTGGAAGACTTAACAAGAAGCTTTCGAAACTTGGTTGAGAATGAATTTTGCATATTTTTCTCAAATAGAAAGTAAATATAAAGGATGATTAAAAATTTTGTTGAGAACTTATGTACTAAATTACTTGGGAAGTTGGGATCACATACTGTCCTTGGTGAAGTTCACATACAACAATTGTCATGCTAGTATCGGGATGATGCTTTGTGAGGTTTTGTATGAGAGAAAGTGCATACTCATTTGTGTTAGAATCAATATGGAGAAGTAGTAGACCATAATTACTTCAATATAAACCATTGAGAATGTTTGACAAATGCAAGAGAATGAGAATTAAGAGTCAACAAAAGTCGTATGTAGATCAAAGGAAGCAATCTTTGAATTTTGTAGTTGGGTATCACGTGGTTTTTAGAGTTACACCTATCATGGATTTTAGATGGCTGTGAAATCCTATAGTTCTCTCCTAAATTCATTGGATGATACCAAATTATCAAATAAATCAATGTAGTCATGAGATTGTCTCACCTCCCTAATTGACAAACTTGCACAAATTGTTTCATGTATCTTAGTTAAGGAAGTATATTCCTAGTCCTAACCATGTTTTGGAGTTGAATTATGTGCAAGTCAAATAGGCTTTGCCTTTCAAGATTAACCAATCAAGATTGAAGACCATCAATATAATAAACATGTTATAGGATGTTATGTCTAATGATTCCACATAGGTATTGGAGGAAGACATGAGAAAAGCCTATCATTACCTCTTTTCAGTAAATGAATTTTTAGGATGATTTTTTTATTAGAGAGAATCTAAGAATTGAGTTAAATTTGTATAAAAATAGAATTTATTTAAATGAGGTGAAGTATGAATATTTTAATTATTAGGAATAAAATATAAAACGAAAAAGTTAACTATTTAAACTTCATTTTCTAAAATCCACTATATTTCTAAAACATATTTAATCTAGCTTCTTTCTAAGTTTCAAAGTCATTCATTCGTCTTTTTTAAGATTCAAGTTTGTCTTAGTGATGTTAACAAAGAGGAGAAGAATCTACGAGTCTAAATTTTGGTTAGATTAAGTTTCTCATAACCTTTTTCTTTTCTTAAGTTTATTGCATATGGGTATGGATATATGGTTGCATGTGGGGTTTTATAGACAAAGATAAATCTATGTTTGTTTAAGGTAATAATGATACCTTTAATTTGATTATTGGTGTTTCTTGTGAAGAAAATTTGAGCTTCTTGTGTTAAATTAGAACTTATTGGTGTTGTGTTAGAGTAGCTAGAAATTTAGGTAAGGGAAGCTAGTAAAAAATTGATATTATTATAGGATAAAATATATGAATTGCATTTGATTGAGTGTTTAGCACTAGGCTAAAAAGCTTTTATCATTAGACAATTGATACCACCTGCAACAATATCTATCTCAATAACTATCTCACTAGAAATCAAACTCTTTGATTGTGACTAAGTTTACTTAACCTCTTAGTAATTATTTCACTAAAAATTGTTTTTAATGGAAGTAGATTACATAATTAATAATGAAATTTTTTTACAAAACTAAAGTGATACATTATAAAATGCAAATACATATATGTGTTTTTGGATATATATATATATATATATATATATATATATATAAGTGGAAAAAAATAGATTAAAAAAAACTTTCATAAAAGGTTAGTGATAGAGAATGGAAGAGAAGGAAAAAATATTAGTACTCCATAAGAATCTCTTATAATAATGACAATAGAGCATATGTGGTGATTCTTGAAGAAAATTTAGAAGGATTTTTTTATTTAGTAGAAAAATATGAATACTAATTCAAAATAATTTTAATTGCTATTCTCTTTTTCAAAAGGGTTGCAACTAATTCATTTATACTGTGCAATATTTTAGTCTGTCATATATTTCACACCTCATTTGACTACCTTAAAATGTGTCTTATAAATGTAATTATTTTAGTATTTGTATTTCTCATAAAATTGATTACTTTACATATTAAAAAGAACATTAGGAAATTGATTGAGAGATAAAATATTTCAAAAATTGTGAGAATCGATGAAGAACTTATTGAGATAATATAAACTAATATCATAAGTGTGTCAAAGTAATTAAAAAATTATATTAAAGCTATTATATAGTTTAGGCTTTAATTTACGTAATGATATTTTTAAAGTATTTGTTTGAAGTAGGTGACTTTATTTTAGATTTTCCTCTTAGTGTAATAGTTAAATTCATATAAATGTAGATGAAAGTAGAAATTTGGGTTGTGAATATAGTAAACATTTTCGGGGTTTAAGACATTTGGGTGAAAATAAATAAATAAATAAATGTATATATATATATATATATATATATATATATATATATATATNTGAACTTTAGCGTCTCTTTTAAAACATGTATTTATGTAACAATGTTTTAGTTAGAAAAAGTCAAACAATATATTTAAAGACATCTGAATTTATTCCTGCAATAAATGTAATTCTTTATTACGAGGTATGATTAATTGTTGAATAATAAAGGA